AGAGAGAGAGAGAGACAGAGAGAGAGACAGAGAGAGAGACAGAGAGACAGAGAGAGACAGAGAGAGACAGACTAAATAAAAGCAGTAGGAAGGATAAGGCAGAGCCTAGACCTAGCTGCTCTCCCTACTGAGGCAGGAAAAGAACTGAGCCTAGGGTGACTCCCACCACAGGAAACAGGAAGCTTTGAATTAGTCCTGCCTCCCTAAGTGATGGATGGGAATCACCCACAAGATGGCCTCCACCTCAGAGGAAGAATGGGCGTTTCAGGCGTAAATTTGCGTAGGCCTTCTTCATCAACTAGTGAAGTGGCAGATTTCCTGCTTCATCCTTCTCTTAGGGGCAAAGTAATTTCACAGGAGGGTAAACAAGCTTCTACTCACTCTTCTTCTTGAGGATGTGTCATTACATTGGCAGTCACCTCTGGCAGTTGCTCTTCATCATTATTGTCGTGTCTGACTCTATCAGGATTCACATGAAGGGTACCAATCTTTTCTATCTTCTCTGTGGTCTTACGTACAAAACTAGAAACACTAGGAATTGAATTTTAAAATAATACAAACATTACCAAGGACAGAACAGCAGATAAGAGCAGACAAAAAGGTGCTGTATGGCATCTCAGAGTTTAACTAATTTATTATAGCATGAAGTTTCACAGGCCTTCTTCAGAAACCTAAATCAGACTGGAAGGTAATGGATCAAACACAACACTGAAATATATAAACCATAATGACTTTTGTCAGTTAACACAGAGATTTTAGAATACTGGAAGTACTCTCAAATTTGTTAAGCAAAGTAAGGCCCCGGTCACACGGGCCGGATATCGCGGGGGGGAGGCGTGGCTAATTGCCCCGGAGGAAACTAACGCGCGGCTGCCCGAGCACACGTCCCGGTCAAGGTCCTGTGGTTCAGGGGAAATGCCGATCAGACAGGTATCCTGCAGCGCGGCACAGAAGGCGCACCGCGCGATCGCACTAGCAATCGCTCTTTGTGCGCATGCGCTGTTGCGCAACCTGCGGAGACGAACAGCAGCGGGTGCCGGATGCCACATAAGTCCACCGGGAATGCGATCAGACGCCCGCCCTTGGCCCGCGGTTTCAGGAAGCTAGTTAGTTTTTAACTCCACACCTTCAGCGGGGAGCCACGGGAGCACTGCGCTTCCCAGATGTTGGGGTGAGATCACGCCCGGAAAATCCGCGGGACTCACGTGCCTCTCCCGCGGCAACTTTGCCGTGTGACTGGGGCCTAAGAGTAATTCTGGAGGTAACTTAAGCTCTCTGGTTAGTATCCCACATTATCCAATTGCTGAGAAACGAGGATTAAATATCTTGAGCCCCAAAAATCAGTGATCAGAAAGGAAACAGTCAAGCATAAAGTGGGAAATGCAAATACTAGCTCAGGGGTTACTGATGAGATAAAACGTACACCCTTTTGATTCTAGTTGGTTCTCTTTCACATTTTTAAAACTTCATGCTATGTTTCAGTGAACAAAAGGGAAATGGCCTCAGGCACTACTTGTTACTCAAGCGTTGGTGTGTTGCTTCTAAACAGTTCGCACAATGTGTTACTATTATGATGGAGGTTTAATTTTTTAAAAAATGAAACCACTATTTATTTGTGTTAGTTCTCCCCATGACCCTTCCTTGTCAATTCCTTCTCCATCTTTGCCATTGCCTTTTAAATAGCCACTTGCTCGCGACAAGTCAGAATTAAAGCAGGCAGGCAGGAAGAAACGTTCATCATAGGCTACAAATCACTTACATGGTGTGCATGAACCAGCGGGCTAATAATTTCTGGACTTGCAAAGCTCATCAAGGCATATGTTTCTTCTGAGGAGGATCACATTTCTTCAAGAATTAGAATTCTCTTCTGCTTTGCTTTCCAGAGAGAAGTCACCCCCTCCCTGGAGGTCAGAAGTACCGTAGGAAGAAGCTTGCAGTACTCCCTCACCCCACCCCAATCACTTATTCCTCTTAAGAGACAGTAAGGGACACTTTAAAGGTAAAGGTTCCCTTGCTCGAAAGCCAGTCGAATCCGACTCTAGGGTTGCGGTGCTCATCTCCGTTTCAAAGCCGAAGAGCCAGCACTGTCCGAAGACGTTTCCGTGGTCATGTGGCCGGCGTGACTAAACACCAAGGCGCATGGAACGCTGTTACCTTCCAACCAAAGTGGTACCTATTTATCTACTTGCAATTTCTTGCTTTCGAACTGCTAGGTTGGCAGGAAAGAGACACTTCACCCCATTTTAATAAGAACAGGGAAGGAAGTAGAACATTATAGACATATGAATTGAACTGCTTGGGAACAAAGCTGTAGACTGCATAGATGCAACCAGAAATAATCAGTCACTAGTTAGACAGCAAACACTGACAAAACTCCGAAGTTGATGAGGAGGATCCACCAAATCTTCCAAGAATCCTTTCCCCAACAAGTGGTTTTTTCTCCATCTGAAGAGCCGTTTGGTTTAGAGGAAGGCTCCTTAGGCCAGAGAAAGGTTTCAAACCACACAGTGGTGTGGGGGGATCCACCCCTACAATTCAGCCGTCAGATTATAGGAAGCCACTTTTTGCACACAGGAAGGCAATTTCTTTATAGCTGTTCATACAAAGTGCTCCATCTTATTTGCTCTGAAAACACAAAATTACAAACTCCATAGCAAAAGTACCCATTTTTTAAAATGTTTTTACATTCAGCATTTCCATTTAGCCCTAAAGGCCAGTACCTTTTCAAAGTAAAATTCAATTTTTCTATGCAGTTTGGATGATTCTCTCCTCCTAGGTAAGGGTAAAGGTTCCCTTGCTCGAAAGCCAGTCGAATCCGACTCTAGGGTTGCGGTGCTCATCTCCGTTTCAAAGCCGAAGAGCCAGCGCTGTCCGAAGACATTTCCGTGGTCATGTGGCCGGTATGACTAAACGCCAAGGTGCACGGAACGCTGTTACCTTCCCACCAAAGTGGTACCTATTTATCTACTTGCAATTTCTTGCTTTCGAACTGCTAGGTTGGCAGGAGCTGGAACTAGAGACGGGAGCTCACTCCATCGTGCGGCACCCGGATCTCGAACTGCTGAACTACCGACCTTCCACAGCCTGCAGTTCAGCGTCTTAACCACTTGAGCCACCGCTAACTTAACAGAAATACAAAATATGAAAATAGATACCAAACAAAATATGAGACTTAAGTAACTATATTTGGCAACTTTGTACCCATTTTTCATGTTCAGGTTATCTCAAGTGATATTTGCAGAGATCTACCACAGTGGCTCCCAAACAGCTCCATAAGCGATCAGAGTGTTTCTGTTCACACATGGAGCAGTTGCAGATTGTACTTTCCATCTGCAAGCCTTCGTATTGGGTTGAATCTCATTCCAAAGGATTCCCTCCACCCAAACCTTCAGAAGCCGCTTTCCAGGGCCTTCAAGAAGCTACAGTGTGGGTGGGGGAGGGGTCCTGATGTATATGCAGAAAACTGTGCATAGTTTTTTGGTTCCCTCCCATTAGATATAACAGGAAGAAATACACAAAAAGAGCAAAACACAGTATAATATCAAGAATGTACTTGGGCAACATAAAATAGGCATTAAATTAAAGTGCAGATGCTTATTTAAAAAAGAATTCAACTAGCAGTACGTTTGCTTTTCTATCGGTCGGGGGGGGGCAACATCTTTTGACTACCCCAGGCCTCAGGGACGTCAAATTCGCCAAGACTAGGGCCAGGGCCTTTTTGGTGGCGGCTCCTACCTGGTGGAATGAGCTCCCGGAGGAGATCCGGGCCCTGCGGGATCTTGCGCAGTTCCGCAGGGCCTGCAAGACGAAGCTCTTCCACCAGGCTTTCGAGTAGGAGCTGCCACCGCTACTGTTCCATCAATGCACCGTCGCCGAAAATTGGCAGAGATACCATCAGGGTGCAAGCGGGCCCTGGGAAGAAGACTGGCTATCTGCCGCTTGGAACTTATGTCGTTGGTCCGGATCCACCCAACCGGAACCCATTTTGGAACTGGGAACATCAGAGCACCAGCACTTTGTTGTACTATTGTTACGTGTTTATCTTGTTTTAATTGTTTTCATTATGGCTTTTGCCCCAATTGTTAGCTGCCCTGAGTCTTAGAGGAGGGCGGGATATACATTGAATTATAAATAAAATATAAATAATGGTGTCTCTTGCCTGTTACAAACGATCACACTGAATTTCATGAAAGTAAATTCTATTCAAGGTATTACACAGCAGAAATAAAATGAAAAGCAAAACAATCTCTGTGTTCTTTAGTAATCACTAATGCCACCCTCCCTAGATAGCACTGACTCCTAGATAGCACTGATAGCATAAGACATCATTGGCCAAGATATTACACAGTTAGCTTCTTTGGGTCCTAAGGAGACTGAAATATAGAAATCCATTTTCTTCCCAAGAGGACACACACACAGTTGATAATGGGTTGCTGTTTCTCACTCTCTTCAGACCTTATCTGTCCTGGAGATAAGCACCCTTGTCTAGCCGTGGTCTTCTAATGACTAAAAGGAGATCTTTGGCCCCAGCCAGACACCACACGACCAGTTTCAAATTGTCAAACTCTTGCTTGCAGAAACTAGTTATGGATTAACAAATCATGGTTAATGGGTTCGACAAAACACAAAGGATGTAATGGGGTGAGGAATTTACCCACGGTTTTTACCTGTCCTTAACAGCTTGAAGAGAGACGAGAGGAGATGGGGAACGGAATGACAATGGAATACTGAATGGAAGAAAAGTCTCATTCCGATCAGTGTCGACCACCACGGAAGCATGAGATACGCTGTCTAACAAACAAAATTGAAATTTGAACAAGTTATAAAACAGAATGAGCCAATAAGACATGCGCAAGCATGAGGGGATGCCCTCTCCCCCGCTATTTTTCCTCGCCTCTTAATGGTTGACAGCAAAACTTAAGATGGTCCAGCCATAACTTCAACCTTCTTCTTAATCATGAGGGAAATGGCCATACTTTCTTGCTCCTCTCGTGTTCAGGTGTCTAAGCAGTTTGGAAAATAAGGTATCCAATTACCAGGATAAAAGTTCTGCCTAGTTTTAAACCATCTAGCACAAAGCGACTCATTAATGATGGCCCTAAAATATAACACTTGCAAGCTGAATACCCATATGCAATGTTCCCTCTAAGCTGTGGGGTCTTGTGAGCAAAAATTGTACTTTGTGAGTTACTGGCACTAAAGTTGTGAGCGAACAATTCGGCTACTGCATAAATTAGTTTGCTCTGGAGCCATTCTTCCTGAGCTAAGACAAAAATGTGTGAGCTGGAGGCTAAAAAACTGTGAGCTAGCTCACACTAACTCAGCTTAGAGGGAACACTGCCCATATGCATTGTGGCTTAGGTAGGAATAAGAGCTTGCCGAATCTGGAAAAAAAATATCAATCAGTGCCTGTTGAAATCCTTGTGAAACACCTGAGTAATTTAAAGATGCAGATACCTATACAACTACCAGTTCCTGTAACTGAATGACATTTCCATTTGCAGAAGACAGGTAATTTTCACTGGTTTCCTCCCTCCCAGCACATGTCCTACTTTGCCTTTATACTCAGTAGAGGCCCCACTGCCCCCCACAGAAGAAAATTTCATGGGGTTTCTGAAGGTTGCAGCAGGAAAAGGGTGCAGGAAAGCCCATTCTCCAACATTCTCTGTGACTTGGATGTATACCACTGTCTTTACCAATATTCTCAATACTAATGATTTTCAGAGTAATTATCTTCCATTTCAACTATGAATTACATGAAACAACAGGAAAGAAGTGAAACCTTCACAGTGTAAGCATCTCCTGAAGAATGAGAATAGGAAGCAAACAGAAAAAACATTTGCAAGGGTAGATTAGACACTAGGCAACAGCATCATCCTGCCTGTGCTCCCCAGCAACTGATTTAAAGAGGCATATTACCTCTGGTACTGGAGGAAGTAGGTACCCATAATCAGGGCTATTTTTGGGCAGGAACGCACAGGAACGGAGTTCCGCCTGGCTCCCAAGTTGGCCATGCCCAGCAGGCACTCATTAGCATAACAGGCCGCACCCAACAGCAGAAACTCATTAGGATTGGCTACATTAGGGGTGTGTGGCCTAACATGCAAAAAAAGGCCCTGGGTTTTGACAACAAACAAGGTAAACAGAATAACAAGCAAAAGGTGGGTGTGGCTGGATAACCACACTTCTGGTAACATGTGGGTGTGGCCTAATGTGCTAATGAGCTGTGCTGTCAGGGGTGTGGCCCAATATGCTAATGAGTTTCTGCTGTTGGGTGTGCCCTATTATGCTAATGAGTTCCTGCTGGGCTTTTTCTACAAAAAGAGCCCTGCCCATAATGATTGGTAGCCACCGAGGCCAGTTCTCCACTAACTTGTCCACACACACACCCTTAAAGCCTTCCAAGTCGACAGCCATGACCACATCTGGTGGCACACTAATCTGTTTGCTTAAATGGAATCACGTGCCTCCCATTACACTGAAGTTGATCTTCTGTATGAAAAAGTTACCAAGTAAGGGTAAGTCATGGTCAAAACATTTTCTTTTGAGGGCATGGAAGGTTGCAGCACCTCATATCTGTAGGTCTAGCGAGTTGCTTAAAATGGTCCACTCTCAGAGACAGATGGATCCAGTGTCTTTTTAAAAAGAGTTTATTCTGTTGGTACCTTGCTAGAGGCCTGGAAGGCTAGAGCCCTTGGGGGATTTGCCAGAGTTCTTCCCCTGTATCCCCTTTTATTCTTGGGTAAGAAACTGAAAAATTGACAAGGCCTGGAAGATCACTGTTGGTGGAAAACTCAGGCTTAATCTAACAGAAAATGCTATAGAGCACAATGGAGCACAGTGTTTGGGGAGGGGCCATGGCTCAATGGAAGAGCATCTGCTTGACATGCAGAAGGTCCCAGGTTCAATCCCCGCAACATCTCCAGTTTAAAAAAAGGATCTGCCAAGTACGTGATGTGAAAGACCTTTCTCTACCTGAGACACTGATGAGTTCCTGCCAGTCTGAGTAGACAATACTCTCCTTGATGGACCAGTGGTTTGGTTCAATATTAGGCAGTTTCAAGTGTTTAGAAGGTGAATAGGTTCAATTCCCACCATCTCCAGTTCAAAGGACCAGGCAGCAGTTGATGTGAAAGACTTTTCTCTGCCTGAGACCTGGGAGAGCCATTGCCAGTCTGAGTAGACAATACTGACCTTGATGGACCAGTGGTCTGATTCAGTATAAGGCAGCTTCATGTATTCAAGTCTACGAGGTGGCAGTGAGAACCAGGGGTCGTTTCGTATTAAAAGAGCTAGGGGAACTCATTAGCATAACTCATTAGCATATGCCACACCCCCTGACATCAGGGGCCCGGCGGTGGACCTGCAAGGCCGGCGGGAGTGCGAGGAAGCCCCGCGAAGGCCCTCCCTGGCCCCAGGCAGGCAGGGGTGGGGAGAGGCGGGGAGG